CACACACACACACACACACAGACGCATGCATGGATTCAATGTGTTGTTCTAACTGGCTGCTTTCTCCCACTTAGCCTTAACCCTTGTGGCTCCATAAAAAATGACTCTACAGTGCATCCACAGAATTAACCATCCATGTGTTAAACACTCTTCATACTCATTACATTAGCATAATTGATTGAGCGTGTTGTAAACTGCATGCCAAAAAAGCCAGAGGCATGAAGGACCAAGCAAGCAGTGTCTGTTGGTGTTTTGGCTGTTGGTCCTTGGCAATGCTTTGTTGTTGGAAATTAAGTGAATTAGAAAGTGATAGCCAGCTCATCTAGGAGAAGACTGAGAGAAGCCAAACTTTGCCGTGCGTGCTAGATGAAAACCCATCCACTGAAACATTTCAAATCAGCTTAAATTGTGCACTTTCTCTTCATATTATTATTTTAAGCACTTAGTGTATGCTACATTAACATGTGGTAATACCTTTGTCACAGCTGGGTTTGGTTGCCTGTCATTACTCAGATGGAATGGAAAGGAAATACATTTGCAGGGATAATCCAAAAACAGCAGGGCTTTGTGTGATTGCCTGGGAGATGGATGAATGAGTGGCCTTGAAAACAACCAAGTCTTGCGCTACAGAGCACATGATGTAAATCACGGCACACAGTGTTAAAATATGATGTCCTAGTTCCCGTCCTGCTGTTGTGCTTTTGCAGGTAAGAGAAGCCAGCTGTGAGTCATGGACACATCCACAGTCTTTTAAGACTCATTAGGGCTGCATCCGCTACTGTGGTTGTGGTTATTTCTGTGGTTAGTTCGCTTGTTGGGAGCCAATAAGAAAGTGTGTGTGTCATGTGGATGTTAAGCATCAGAAAAAACCCCTGCTTACTGCCTCTTAATTTGCTTATGTGTCTGTGTCTCTGTGTAGTGCCTAAGTCAGACCCTTTTCCGTGCGTATAGTACCACAAAGCACAGAGGGTGGCTAATGGCGAGGGGGGGTTTGTGTGTGCTCTCATTGTGTGTACTCTCTGCGACTGTGTGTGCGTGTTTGCGTGGCGTTGTTCGAGTGCATCTGTCCCTCCTCCCCAGGCCCCAGCGATTGGCACTGCATCTCTCATCTATTAATCATAGAGAGCGCTTGCTCTCTCATTCCGTTGCCATAGTTTCAGGACCTGAGACAGTGTTGGGGTGCGTTACTGCCTAGAGAGAGGAAAAGTGAGAGAAAGAAGGGGAGGAGAGAGGAGGAAAGGAAAGGAAAGGAGGTGTGACTAAGGAGGAAAAGAGGAAATTATATAAAGAGTGTAGTGTGGGGAAGACTGAACAATTGAAAGAGAGCAGAGGAGGGAAGAGGGGAAGTGACTGAAAGAGCAATGCCAGGATAACGCACCAAGCAGGTCCTCACACTGTGGGTGAGAGTGCTTCAAGAACCAAAATGGATTCCATTTTTATCTCATCAGTAAATCCTCTATCTCCTCTCTCTTTCACACACATACGTACATAAACTCTTTCCATCTCTCCGCGCTCTCCTTCCTAAAGAGAGCAGAAGAATATTTTCACAGTAGGCGTCATCTTGTGAATAGCAGGCTCATGGGGCTGGTGCATCTCCAGTGTGTTACAGTACATTGAACTGCTGCTATTTCACCTTGCTTTACAATGGAAAAATCCTTCCACTAAGCTGAAATGGAAGATGGGCAAGGGTCGCCTGTTTCATGCTCAGTTGGTTGTTTTGATGGCAAATCATGCTGAATTCATGTGTTATTCCACGATGGATTAGTCCATAAATCGACCACTATGGAAATTTCCAAGGCAGGGAATACCTCATGCTATCAGCTCTTGTTTCTCAGTCTCTTAGCATTTTATCATCTGCCTATCTCGTTGC